CAAAAAAACACAGTTCCACTCACCAGATGATGATCATTTGAAACTTAACTTCTTGTTGATTTGCTCCGGTCTTGGTCTTGAATTGGTCTCACTTTAGTTGGTCTCGAACACAACACTGCTGATATCTTTCTGACAGATAAGATCTAAACCAGGCAAGAACTTGTCTGTGTAGAACAATTAGGGTTTCCAATCTCTCCAAAATAATGTGGTTATTGATGGTGTCAAAGGTGGCATTAAGGTCTAGGAGCACGAGGACAGATGCAGAGCCTTGGTCTGACGCCATTAAAAGGTAATTGACCATCTTCACGAGTGCGATCTCAGTACTATGATGGGGTCTAAAACCAACTGAAGCGTTTCGTGGTACATTATTGTGTCTTCAGGAGAGCCAGGATGTTGCTACGCAACAGTTTTTCAAAAAATGTTTGAGAGGAATGGGAGATTCGATATAGGCCAATAGTTTTTTTTTTTTTTCCCAGGTCAAGGTTTGGATTTTTCAGGAGAGGCTTTATTACTGCCACTTTTAGTGAGTTTGGTACACATCCGGAGGATAGGGAGCCATTTATTATGTTAAACATAGGAGGGCCAAGCACAGGAAGTAGCTCTTTCAGTAGTTTAGTTGGAATAGTGTCCAGTATGCAGCTTGAAGGTTTAGAGACCATTACTATTTTCATGAATGTGTCAAGAGATATAGGAGTGTCTCCATTGATCACAGGTGTCACGCCCTGGCTCTGGGACTCTGTTATGTTGAGCCAGGGTGTGTGGTTTCTATGTGTTTTGTGTGCTAGGGTGATTATCTAGTTCATTTGTTTCTATGTTGGCCGGTGTGGTTCTCAATCAGAGGCAACGTGTATCAGCTGTTGCTTTTTGTCTCTGATTGGGAACCATACTTAGGCAGCCTGTTTTCCACAGTGTGTTGTGGGATCTTGTTCCGTGTTTGGTTAGTGTCTATTGCCAAGGACGTCACGTATCGTTTTGTTCGTGTGATCATTAAAAATAAAAGTATGTTCGCATTCCACGCTGCGCCTTGGTCCTCTGTGTTCGACGATCGTGACAATAGGTCCTGGCAGTTTCGTGCAGACTCAGGACAGCTGAGCTTTGGAGAAATACGCAGATTCAAAGAGGAGTCCGTAATTTGCTTTCTAATGATCATGATCTTTTCGTCAAAGAAGTTCATGAATTCATCACTGCTGAAGTGAAGGCCATCCTCTCTTGGGGAATTCTGCTTTTTAGTTAGCTTTGCGACAGTATCAAAAATAAATGTTGGATTGTTTTTATTCTCCTCAATCAGGTTGAAAAGTAGGCTCATCGAGCAGCAGTGAGGGCTCTTCGATATTGCATGGTACTGTCTTTCCAAGCTAGTCGGAAAACTACCAGTTTGGTGGAGCGCCATTTCCGTTCCAATTTTCTGGAAGCTTGCTTCAGGGCTCGGGTATTTTCTGTATACCAGGGACCTAATTTCTTCTGACAAATGTATTTTGTTTTTAGAGGTGCGACTGCATCTAGGGTATTACGCAAGGTTAAATGTAGATCCTTGGTTAGGTGGTTAACTGATTTCTGTACTCCAACGTCCTTTGGTAGGTGGAGGGAGTCTGGAAGGGACCGTTGCAGTGTCTTAAATGTAAAAAAGTTTGGCCACGTGGCAAGTGAGTGCAGACAGAATAAATACACTGCTCAAAAAAATAAAGGGAACACTAAAATAACACATCCTAGATCTGAATGAATGAAATAATCTTATTAAAAAGTTTTTCTTTACATAGTTGAATGTGCTGACAACAAAATCACACAAAATGATCAATGCAAATCAAATGTATCAACCCATGGAGGTCTGGATTTGGAGTCACACTCAAATTTAAAGTGGAAAACCACACTACAGGCTGATACAACTTTGATGTAATGTCCTTAAAACAAGTCAAAATGAGGCTCAGTAGTGTGTGTGGCCTCCACGTGCCTGTATGACCTCCCTACAACGCCTGGGCATGCTCCTGATGAGGTGGCGGATGGTCTCCTGAGGGATCTCCTCCCAGACCTGGACTAAAGCATCCGCCAACTCCTGGACAGTCTGTGGTGCAACGTGGCGTTGGTGGATGGAGCGAGACATGATGTCCCAGATGTGCTCAATTGGATTCAGGTCAGGGGAACGGGCGGGCCAATCCATAGCATCAATGCCTTCCTCTTGAGGTCTAGCATTGTCTTGCATTAGGAGGAACCCAGGGCCAACCGCACCAGCATATGGTCTCACAAGGGGTTTGAGGATGTCAACTCGGTACCTAATGGCAGTCAGGCTACCTCTGGCGAGCACATGGAGGGCTGTGCAGCCCCCCAAAGAAATGCCACCCCACACCATGACTGACCCACCGCCAAAACGGTCATGCTGGAGGATGTTGCAGGCAGCAGAACGTTCTCCACGGCGTCTCCAGACTCTGTCACGTCTGTCACATGTGCTCAGTGTGAACCTGCTTTCATCTGTGAAGAGCACAGGGCACCAGTGGGGAATTTGCCAATCTTGGTGTTCTCTGGCAAATGCCAAACGTCCTGCAAGGTGTTGGGCTGTAAGCACAACCCCCACCTGTGGACGTCGGGCCCTCATACCACCCTCATGGAGTCTGTTTCTGACCGTTTGAGCAGACACATGCACATTTGTGGCCTGCTGGAGGTCATTTTGCAGGGCTCTGGCAGTGCTCCTCCTGATCCTCCTTGCACAAAGGCGGAGGTAGCGGTCCTGCTGCTGGGTTGTTGCCCTCCTACGGCCTCCTCCACGTCTCCTGATGTACTGGCCTGTCTCCTGGTAGCGCCTCCATGCTCTGGACACTACGCTGACAGACACAGCAAACCTTCTTGCCACAGCTCGCATTGATGTGCCATCCTGGATGAGCTGCACTACCTGAGCCACTTGTGTGGGTTGTAGACTCTGTCTCATGCTACCACTAGAGTGAAAGCACCGCCAGCATTCAAACGTGACCAAAACATCAGCCAGAAAACATAGGAACTGAGAAGTGGTCTGTGGTCACCACCTGCAGAACCACTCCTTTATTGGGGGTGTCTTGCTAATTGCCTATAATTTCCACCTGTTGTCTATTCCATTTGCACAACAGCATGTGAAATGTATTGTCAATCAGTGTTGCTTCCTAAGTGGACAGTTTGATTTGACAGAAGTGTGATTGACTTGGAGTTACATTGTGTTGTTTAAGTGTTCCCTTTATTTTTTTGAGCAGTGTATGTTGTGGAAGAGTCAGTGGATACACAGTGCTGCAACTGTAGTGGAAACCACATTCCCGAGTTCCAGGAATGCCCTGTAAGGGTGAAGCAGGTTGAAGTAGCAAGAATCCTGGCTTTCCACCAGGTCTCCTATGCAGAGGCAGTGCAAATAGCGGAAGGAGCAAGTGCAAATGAGGAAGAAATGGCAATGGATACCCCGCAGGCTGCAGAAAGTGTTGTTCATCAGTTGAGGGATCCTGAAGTGCTGATAGTTTAGAAGGTGGATTTTGTTGTGTTTATTGTGCAGGTGATAAATTCAAATGTCAAACTAGCAAGAAATGGAAGAAACTTGACATAATTGTGATTGCAGCAAAACGGTTTTTGGATCGGCAGGACTTTACGCCTGAAACATTGCAGTATGTTGTAGTTATTATTATAATTATTTATTTTTTTGGCCATTCCCTATTTCCCGGTGTTTTTCTGCGTTGAAGTTCCCCAGTTTTCACCCCACACAGTAGGTGTGTGCACCTCTAAATACTATAGAAGAAGAAGAAGAAGAAGAAGAAGAAGAAAGATAGGGTGTTGATCCATCTGATTTGTTTAAGAGACGTCTGGATACTGTGTATCAGGGTTTTGTGGCCATTTACACAGATGGTTCAAAAGATCCAAGGACAGGACGTACTGGGTCAGCATTTGTAGTGCAGGAATGTGGGGTGGAAGTCAAGAAACGTATTACAGATCATCTGGCTGTATATTCGGCTGAGCTGATGGCCATACTGTTGGCCTTGCAGTGGGTGGAGGCAGTCAAACAAGACAGAGTAGTTATTTGCTCTGATTCATGTGCAGTGTTAATGAGTCTCCAGTCCTTTAGCTCACATAGCAGACAATACATGCTTTATGAGGTGCCCATGGCAGGATTAAACAGATGCGAATAAGGATAAGATTTACGTGGGTCCCCGCCGATGTGGGGCTGGAGGGGAACGAGGCAGTAGATTAACTGGCTAAACAAGCACTTAGTAGTGGGGATGTTGATGTTGAAGTTTCAATGAGCAAGACAGAGGCAAAAAGACAGATATATAGTGATGGTGAAGAGATAATAAGGGAAGGTATTTATTTCAAGTACAGAGGAAAGTCGGGGAGGGGAGGACGGCAGGAAGGGACAGAAGAGAGGAGGCTATTTTTACAAGATTAAGGGACACAGCCAGTTGAATAAGACATTAAATGTGATAGGAAAGCATCCAACAGGAAAGTGTGATTATTGTCAGGAAACAGACCGTGGAGCATGTATTGCTACAGTGTGGGCAGGATCAGAGGGAAAGAGAGAGGATGAGATCTAGTATGAGGGAGAAGGGATACAGGAAATTAGTTTAAAGAGTATATTGAGTAGAACGTCATTAGATATAGTCTCAAATATTTTGTTATCTTTTTTAAGAGCAACGGGGCTGGCAGTTAGAATTGAGTTTATCCGTCTCTGGCCCACACTCCGGTACAGTAGGTGGCGGTAATGCACTATTACGTTGGATGTCAGTCGCCGATAAACCCCACTGAAGAAGGAGACGAAGAAGAAGAATATCAAAACCGCGAAAATCTTTGCGCTCTGCACGAGTGCTGACCTCGTAAATGCCTACTTAGACAACACACATCAGGTGCAGTTATAGGGAAAACTGCAATTTAACGTATACATGATTCTATTAGTACAAGTTTTCATCCACAAGGGTTTGATAAAATAACTTTTAAAAAGTATCTGTTTAGTTTTGTGATTTTTAGAATTTTGTCAGGCGCATTGGCGGCCATCTCACATATTGGGGTCTTAACATATGTAGGCGCTGTTTTGTTCTGAACTGCAAATTTCATATCGATTGTTTATCTAACGTTTGTTTACAATTTTACTAGCTAGCCATCATATGGCTTCCACTTTACTATCACCGATGGTAGATTATTACAATGATGAAGAAGAACTTGATAGTGAGGACGATGATCGAAGCGTCAGGGGAAGAGACTCGGAAGAAGGTAACGTTAGCTAGCTCGTTTACGAACGTCGTTACACTTGTTGTTAGATTTGCTAAGGAACATTAACGTTAGATAGTTAAAATATTATATTAAAACAGTGAAACACTTGTCGAAGGAACTCATCCCCATTGAATTGTAAAGTCAGTACGTTTGAGCTAACGTTAGCTTTGGCAACGGTATCGTAACGATAGCTACCTAACGTTAGCTAAATCAACAACAACAACACAGGCTTCCGATTCGTGGGGGATCGGTCACCACGACGAGTGAACCAGAATCAGGCAGGATTTACAGGAGACGTTGAATATGGCGATTCAGGAGAATCGCCATATTCAACAACTCCTTTGTAAGGCCATATTCTACCAGGTTCACACGAGGAGTAACGTTACTAGCTAGCTGGCAAGTAAGCTACCTGTCAGTGTTGTAGAACTAGAGGGGGGAGGAGTTCGTCTTTTTCAACTTTCATGGTTTGCATCCAAGCCTGGCTGTAATCTTCTAATGAGTTAACGTTACAGCAAACCGTGTTCTGGTCTGGTGGTGGACATCTTGGTATCCCCATGCATTGGAGTCTCAATTCTGCCATCTCGATCATTTTAAAAGTTAAAATATTAGTACTAAAGTTAGGAACAATTCCAGGCAGGCAGTCATTCTCAGTAACGTTAGAACATTGACAGGTGGCGAGAAACGCTCAACATTTGCTTTGCCACCATTGAGTGGCCCGTTCTGACACGGTCTTGGTGTGAAGTATAAGAAACGTGTTTATTTGACCTCTTTAATTGTCCTTGCATATCGATGAAGGTGGTTGGGATAGTTAGATTTTGAGGCCCGGTCAAGCGCTGGGGCTCATTCACATTTTCAGCAATGACGCTATCCAATGTTAACTGACTTTAATGGAGAGTTGTTTTATCAAAGGTAAGGTCATCCATTTAAACTATGTCTAGCTAGAGTAACTACTAGTAGCTATATATCTAAAGTTACCGTACCATCAGCTGACAGGTAACTGGCAAAACCTTTGCGCTGGCAAGCTCAGTAGCTAGCGAACTAACGTTAGCTAGTTGACTAGCGAGTTAGGTCAGGGTAGCTCGCAAGTTAGGTAGGTGATGTCACGTAACGTTCGGCAAAATTATGATTTTATCTCGTGAGCTACCTAGTTAGCTAACTAAGAAACCCACTTCATTAGCTAGCTAGACAAGTATTTTGATTGAGTCGTTGCTAAGCTAGCTAACGTTAGCTTGCCACATCGCACGACACTTCTGGAACTTGGCTGCATCAGCTACGCATTAGCAACGGTGCTAGCAAGTCAACATGCGGCAAACGAGAATTAGCTGGCTGGTCAAATGAGAAACGACTGATTACTAGAGTCGATGGCTTTCTGCCGTCGTACATTTCTTTCTGCAACGTTTCAAAGCGAACTTCGATACAAACGAGCCAGCCTGTTCGCTGAATGTCAAGCTTGCTAGTTTTACCACTTTCCTTGTGACCGTAGCCTGCTAAAGTAGGTAGCTAACTACCTAGTTTATCCTACGACATAAACTAACGTTGCTACCTAAGCTATATTTGAATTTATGAGTGGGGGAAAACCTGTTCCTTTATATCAGCCTCCCCAGCTCGTTTTTCGGTGTTTTGGTATACGTTTATATAAGTTTAAACATTAATGGCTGGTAACAATCATGGGTGATGCAAATAAAGGTAACTTTACTGATTGCATATGTTTTTATTAGTTTAACGTTACTACTATTTCCTGGCTTTTTTTTAAATGGACGACAGCTTGTAATAAAAGTATTAATATCATTGACTTGGGAATGGGATTGACCAACATGTTCTGAAAATGTAGTCTTGGCATGCCATATGAATTTGCCTAATTTGGTACCTTAAACCTACGGTGTATAGCTAGTATACTCTGTAATAACTGACTTTAGCCTCTTTTTGCCCCTTTTCAGACACTGAAGACGCCAGTGAAACTGACCTAGCAAAGCACGACGAGGATGACTATGTGGAAATTAAAGAACAGTGAGTTTTCCCCCAAATGCATGGTTACACTGGATAGAGTAATCGGGGCTCTGCGACCCTGTTCCTTGAGAGCTACCGTCCTGTAGGTTTTCACTTCAACTGTAATCTAGCGCACTTTATTCTAATAATTAGCTGGTTGATAAGCTGAATCAGGTTAGTTACAACTGGGGTTGGAGCGAAAACCTACAGCAACAGGGTTGGAGAGCCCCGGAATAGATGAGGACATGGACCAAATGGGGATGTTCAAAATGTAGCCTGATCTTGAAGGACTAAACGTACAGATACAGTAGTTGGTTGTGATAGTCATGTTTGTTTTGTTGCAGGATGTACCAAGACAAGTTGGCATCATTGAAAAGGCAGTTGACGCAACTCCAAGAAGGTAGTGTCACTGTTTCTAATTATCCTCACTGCATTTATTAATTAAACCAACTCCGTGGCCTTGTGATTAGTGTCCGCCCTGAGGTTGGGAGTTTGAGCCCCAGTTGAGTCATACCCAAGACTGTAAAAATGGGACCCGATGCATCTCTGCTTGGCACTCAGTGTTAAGGAGATAGACTAGTATCCTGTCCAGGGGGTATACTTGTACATCAAGCTGCCTCACTCTACAGAAACAGGAAATGGGCTCCTGCTCCTATGAGCTGTTCTGGCTTGTGCAAGGCTACTTTATTTATGAATTTGCCCTATCCTATAATCTATTCATCATCCTCACTTCATTAACAATCTATTTGATTAGCAATGTCATAAATCCCTCAACATGCTGAAGTAGCAGCTTAGCAGACCTTTATCATTTGACACAACTGTTAAGATGACACCTCAGAGGTAGTTGTTCCTTGCAAAAATTGGATGAATATGTTTGGCGTTACATGCTGTTTTCTCATCCCTGCAGGAACACTTCAGGAGTACCAGAAGAGAATGAAGAAGCTGGACCAGCAATACAAAGAGAGACTTCGCAATGCTGGTAGGATCACTGTGCACTGTTGTTGAACTAGATGGGTGTTTCAGTAGTTTTCCATGTGTGGAGGCCACATTTCTTTATAATTTGTTCTTGAACTCACCCAAGGTTGTGTAGGTTTTGTGACGCAAGTCAATGTGACAGACAGGGATTAACTGACGTTTCTGTTGTGTTGTCTGTTTCCTATAGATCTCTTCCTCCAACTCGAGGTAAGACATGTTTGATATTATTACCTAACATTGTAATTCCATTGAATCATTCGCCTGCCATGTCCTTTTGACACAGTGAACATCCCCGGGCCTCTCCTCCCGTTCTCTTACCTCTCTCTTTTTTTCTTTCTGTCTTTCAGAAAGAACAGGTGGAGAGGAACCACATCAAAGAGAAGAAAGCGGCGGTGAAGGAGTTTGACGATAAGAAGGTTGAGCTGAAGGAAAACTTAATTGCCGAGCTGGAGGAGAAGAAGAAGATGATAGAGAATGAGAAATTAACAATGGAGTTGACTGGCGGTAGGGGAATCACTGAGAAAAAACCTTGCTGAGGAAGAAGACTATGTAGGATCATTTATTTCTCCTCTGTCAGTGCAGTGGAAGTGTTTTAGAGATGAGAGGGAAAGCTTTTAAGCCCATCTTAGATCTCACAACCTTGGTATTAACATGGGTGCCAATTAAAACGTCTTAGTCTTAGATGCATTGTGTTCTCTCCCTCTTACTCAAAATTTGCAGATTTCATGCTAATCACTCAGTTGAAGATCTTGTTAGTGCAGTAATGTTATTATAACCTGTAAGGTAATAATGACACTACATTACATATATTATAGTTATCAATATACTGATATACATTTTATCTGTCTGTTTTAGTTATTCCCTTATGGGTGTCAGCTGCAGTGAGATCATGGTTTGTTTCCCTGTGTAGATTCTATGGAGGTGAAACCCATCATGACCCGGAAGTTGAGGAGGAGGCCCAACGATCCAGTCCCCATTCCAGACAAACGGAGGAAACCTGCACCTGATATCCTTTACTACTTTCTGCTTGTTTATATAAGGGTTGACCCGAGCTATGCACTGTGCAGAATCCATCGGTCTTCAATAACAATTTTTCTAATTTGCACAGATGGTATAACAGATACTGTTACTTATTTAAAGAATGCCATTTCGGGTATCTGGGTACAAATTATGATTTTTATTAAATGAGTTGTCCTTAACTAGGCACACCTCAGTTAAACTATTTGCTAACAGACGAACAGATCATGGAAGATCTGCGAACACTGAACAAGCAGCTGAAGTCCCCCAAGCGTCCAGGTATACTACTTTTATGATTGTTTTGTTTGTTAGTCTAAAGCACTATTAAGCTAAAATAAGAAAGTACAACAAGTTAAAGGATTTTAGTTCAGAAAATATTGTAGTCATTAGATACCATTGTTAAATATAAAGACCTGCCCAGGCCACGTTATAGTAAGTTAACTATTTACACTGAAATGACTAGACTGATTTTTGTTTTTCCTCATGCCATGTTTTCTCCTCCAGTGTCTCCGTCGTCTCCAGACCATATGCCCACCACTCCAATGGAGGCCCCTTCACAGCGCTATGAGGCCCGCATCGAAGAAGGAAAGCTCTACTATGACAAGAGATGGTACATACAGTGCATTCGGAAAGTATTCAGACCCCTTGACTTTTTCCACATTTTGTTACGTTATAGCTTTATTCTAAAATGGATTAAATTCCCCCCCCCCTCCTCAATCTACACATGATACCCCACAATGACAAAGCAGAAACAGGTCTAGAAATTTTGGCAAATTTATAAAAAAATTAAAAACGGCTATATCACTTATTTACATAAGTATTCAGTACTTACTCAGTACTTTGTTGAAGCACCTTTGACAGTGATTACACCCTCAGGTGTTCTTGGGTATGTCGTTACAAGCTTGACACACTTGTATTTGGGGGGTTTTTCCCATTCTTCTCTGAAGCGCCTCAAGCTCTGTCAGGTTGGATGGGGAGCGTCGCTGCGACGCTATTTTCAGGTCTCTCCAGAGATGTTCGATCGGGTTCAAGTCTGGGCTCTGGCTGGGCCACTCAAGGACATTCAGAGACTTGTCCCGATGCCACTCCGGTGTTGTCTTGACTGTGTGCTTAGGGTCGTTGTCCTGTTGGAAGATGAACCTTCGCCCCAGTCTGAGGTCCTGTGCACTCTGGAGCAGGTTTTCATTAAGGATCTCTCTGTACTTCGCTCTGTTAATCTTTCCCTTGATCCTGACTAGTCTCCCAGTCCCTGCCGCTGAAAAACATCCCCACAGCATGATGCTGCCACCACCATGCTTCACCGTAGGGATGGTACCAGGTTTCCTCCAGACGTGATGCTTGGCATTCAGGCCAAAGAGTTCAATCTTTGTTTCATCAGACCAGAGAATCTTGTTTCTCATGGTCTGGGAGTCCTTTAGGTGCCTTTTGGCAAACTCCAAGCGGGCTGTCATGTGCCTTTTACTGAGGAGTGGCTTCCGTCTGGCCACTACCATAAAGGCCTGATTGGTTGAGTTCTGCAGAGATGGTTGTCCTTCTGGAAGGTTCTCCCATCTCCACAGAGGAACTCTGGAGCTCTTTCAGATTGACCATCGAGTTCTTGGTCACCTCCCTGACCAAGGCCCTTCTCCCCCGATTGCTCAGTTTGGCCAGGCGGCCAGCTCTAGGAAGAGTCTTGGTGTTTCCAAACTTCTTCCATTTTAAGAATGATGGAGGCCACTGTGTTCTTGGGGACCTTCAATGCTGCAGACACAATCCTGTCTCGGAGTTCTACGTACAATTCCTTCGACCTCATGGCAAGGGCTGGGCGATATACCGTATTTTACGTAATACCGGTATTGATGCACAGACCGGTTTGGGTTTTTACTTTACCTTCTATAACAATATTTGAATGTTTGATTTGTTAAATGTGATACGCCGTGTGTAACGTAATTTTGTTTGTTTGTTTACTCCGCAACTTGAGTCATCTCTCTCCGCTCTCTCTCTCTCTCTCTCTCCATGCGGCTTTCCACACAGACCTAGCCCCGCCCCCTGTCACTCAAGGAGGAAGTTTGTTGTTCCTTGACCAAGACACTTACGTTTAGCCTGCATAGTAAATTCAGCATGTGACAATGTTGTTTTCACTTTGATTCTTAATATAAATCCACTAGCGTTCTATAATTACACTAGTAGTTTGTTTCTTACATCTGCAAACGACTAGTTTGCCTTTTCTTAGTAAGTTGGGCCTGAATCGTGTTAACCGCTAATTCTAATCACTAGTTAGCTGGCTAGCTAGCTAATAAATGTACTGAGTCAGAGCAAACGTAACTAGCTATACAGCCTGATAATACCCGTGATGGTGTAGACCTAAATCAGTATGTTTGCATGAAGCATGAATTGTTAGCTACATGAAGTTGCTAAGAGAGAACATCAAATATAGCCAACGATTATAGGGTCCCCTAGGAAACACTTATTCAAACTTTGGTTTCCTACCCTGTCACAATAACTCCTCCTGGCATGTCAAACAACACGGTATTCAAAGTGCCCACTATTCTATTCTAACTGTAGAATTAGAATACTCATTCTATTTCCATGATTCCAACAGTTCACCCAAGTGTTTTGCTCTAAATCGCAATTGCAACATTTGGTTAAAAGTAAGGCCTAGGTTGTTTGCCAATATCGTGCAGCCCTACGTGGCAGTGCGGAAATGACCTCAAATTAGTGCAGGAAATGCAGAAATTGATAAATGCTGAAATTTTATTTTTGGTTGAATTGAACAGAATTCACTTAGTGTTTGCCGCTGTAGGGTCACGTACTACTCATGAATCAAATTGAGAACTTTTATTATTCACAAACATAAAATACTGTCATTTACCGTCATAATGTAAAAAATTAATATGAAATACCGTGATACGATATTTTGCCAATATCGCCCAGCCCTACTCATGGCTTGGTTTTTGCTCTGACAAGCACTGTCAACTGTGGGACCTTGTATAGACAGGTGTGTGCCTTTCCATATCATGTCCAATCAATTGAATTTACAACAGGTGGACTCAATGAAGTTGTAGAAACATCTCAAGGATGATCAATGGAAACAGGATGCACCTGAGCTCAATTTTGACTCTCATGGCAAAGGGTCTGAATAGTAAGGTATTTCTGTTTTTTATTTTTAAGAAATGTGCAAAAATGTATTTAAAAAAAAAAAACTGTTTTCGCTTTAGTGTGTAGATTGAGAAATTAATTTAATCAATTTTATAATAAGGCTCTAACATAACAAAATGTGGAAAAAGGGAAGGGGTCTGAATGCACTGTACATACATACTGTAAAACTTCAATTCATAGCCCGGGAGTTTATTTGCTTCAATCACTGAACACAACTGGCGCTTATTAGAAACAAGCTTCTATCTGAGCCAGGCGTCTATTTCCTTAATGCACACAGCGTTTGCTTAAGTTTGAATACTCAATACTACCACACTGTTTGTGACCAGTATATACATTCTAATAACACATCTATTGCAGATCTGCAAAGACTTGGCTGCCTATCACACCCCCCCGATTACGAGCTTCAGCACCATTCTCTCTCCGTGCGCCTGATGTGCCTTGTATCCCCCGTAATTGCAGCGAAATGTGTGCTGATGCCCGGCTATTAAAAGGGACCGGCGGCTATCTGAGACTGCGTTTTTAATGACGTTTTATGGTACATGCATTCAAGGCTTAGCTTGTTCAATCACAATCTCTTCTGTTTATCTTCCTTTTAATTTGGTTTATTAGACTATTTTAAAAAACACAACAAAAAGGTGATTTTAATTTAGGGTGACAGTCAAACTTATTTCCATTGTGTTCCTTTTGTTCACAGCTGTTGTGGTTTATCACTGTTTAATAGACCAAAAAGATGGGGCAAAACATGTTATCTACTAAACTGGTTCATTATTATAGAATATTGAGTGTTTTTAATCCATGATGCAGTTGACTTTTGTTAGCCACTAGATGGCCACACACCCTTATAAATCCTCCTTTTTAACATACTATAGGAATTGTTGGCTTTGCTGGCTATATTTCTGGCATGTCTGCAAATGTTTTTAAATAAGATCTGAGTGGTCTTAAAAATGCATCTTAGTATTTTGTAGTAATGTCAATAGAAAAAGGTTATGTCTTACTACCCAATGAATTGTGGGAATGTTAGCTACCTGCCACCATGGATTTACATTACATTTCACTATCATGGGGCTAGAACATGGCTTTCTGACAAAGGACTGAGTGTTGGCTTTACTCTCCCCTTGGGTGGAGAGTGAGTCTAGCGCTCCCTTCATAGGACATCACGCACCAATGAATAATTCCTTTTGAAGAGTGGAAAATGTGAAATGTGCTCCTCTGTGATATTACTTTCCATGACTTTCATGTAGCCTCTGATTTACATTTTAGTCAATTAGCAGATGCTCTTATCCAGAGCGACTTACAGTTAGTGAGTGCATACATTTTTCATACTGGCCCCCCGTGGGAATCGAACCCACAACCCTGGCGTTGCAAGCGCCATGCTCTACCAACTGAGCTACAGGAGGCTCTGATAAATTCTGAAGTGAGAGAGCGGGCTCAGGTGATAGAACACTAAGTATTGCTTGCTGCTTTCACAGTCTCACTCTGTTGTTAACCGTGAAACTATATTGCTTGCGTGAGGGTACTGGATATACCACGGCCATGGGGAAATGTACTATCCACATCTACGATTACTGTCTTATTCGGTCTGTTCCAACTTTCACTGCTCCACTTACCTCAGGGTGACTCTCTCCCCAGACAGAGTATATGATAATCCAAGATTACCTGTCTCGTTGTCATACAGGGGAAGCAGATTATCTGTCAGATTATCTATTTAATGTCACTTTAAAGGTATTGTGTGCTCAAGTGATATTATTCTACATAGTGTATATACAATTACATTCTTACCTGAATGGACTGATCCCTGCTCTTACCCCTCAGTCAATGCCAGCCGATTAAATATTAAAGGAGCTACATAAAATATTTCGACGTTAATTTAAATGTCGTGTTTTTTTAAGGACTCTGCTTAGAAATTTCTACTGACTGCAAGGTAAGATGATGATCATCCATTCATTTCCAGGATGTGAAGTGTTTTTTAGTGCAAATGTTTTTTTTGGCTCATGTAGTTTGTGTTCTTGACCCTGTCAGGTACCATAAGAGCCAGGCCATCTACCTGGAGTCAAAGGAGAATACCAAGATCAGCTGTGTCATCAGTTCTGTGGGAACAAACGAGGTGGGTGTCAGACCCTTATAGCCACAGCTACTAGCCTGGTACAAGAGTGCATTCAGAAAGTATGGATTACATTGTTTTTCCCCCTCATCAATCTACACACAATACCCCATAATGCCAAAGAAAAAACAGTTTTTTTTGAATTTTTTTGCTAATGTATAAACTGAAAGTTACATTTACATAAGTATTCAGACCCTTTTCTATGAGACTTGAAATTGAGCTCCGGTGGATCCTGTTTCCATTGATCATCCTTGAGATGTTTCTACAACTTGATTGGGGTCCACCTGTGGTAAATTCAATTGATTGGACATGATTTGGAAAGGCACACACAGTTGACAGTGCATGTCCGAGCATGAGAAGCTGATTAAACCGCACGATCGTAACGCTGGTGCACCTTGTGCTGGGGTCAATAAAAGGCTACTCTAAAATGTGCAGTTGTTACACAACACAATGCCACAGATGTCTCAAGTTTTGAGGGAGCGTGCTATTGGCACGCTGACTTCAGGAATGTCCTCCACAGCTGTTGCCAGAGAATTGAATTTAAATGTCTCTACCATAACCTGCCTCCAACGTCGTTTTAGAGAATTTGGCAGTACGTCCAACTGGCCTCACAACCACAGACCACGTGTAACCACGGCAGCTCAGGACCTCCACATCCAGCTTCTTCACCCGCGGGATCGTCTGAGACCAGCTACCCGGACAGCTGATGAAACTGTGGGTTTGCACTTTGCACAACCAAATAATTTCTGCACAAACTGTCCAAATAATTTCTGCACAAACTGTCAGAAACCGTCTTGGGGAAGCTCATCTGCGTGCTCGTCGTCCTCACCAGGGTCTTGACCTTACTGCAGTTCGGCATTGTAACCGACTTCAGTGGGAAAATGCTCACCTTCGATGGGCACTGGCATGCTGGAGAAATGTACTCTTCACGGTTGAATCCCGGCAACTTCGCACAGCCGTTGAAGAGGTGGGCCATTCCACAGGCCTCAATCAACAGCCTGACCAACTCTATGCGAAGGAGATGTCATGCTGCATGAGGCAAATGGTGGGCACACCAGATACTGAATGGTTTTCTGATCCATGCCCTTACCTTTTTAAGGGATCTGTGACCAACATGCATATCTGTATTCCCAGTCATGTGAAATCCATAGATTAGGGCCTAATGAATTTGTATTTAAATTGACAGATTTTCCTTATGAACTGTAATGCAGTAAAATCTTTGAAATTGTTGCATGTTGCGTTTTTATATTTTTGTTCAGTGTAGTTTGCAAGACCGCACAAACTGATCTGGTGCCAGCTACAGCTATGCGTTTTAGCCATATGTCTCCTATAGTTTAGGAATCATAGACAGCATTACTTATAATGCTGTGGATTGTTAGGAATTGTGGGATTTTTTTTTTGCTGCCTTTTCATCCACTGAACTTGTGATTTCACCTACAGATGCTCTTTCTTGTTGCTTGGAGAGCTAATGAGTCATTTGTTCTGTTTTCCATTCTCAGATCTGGGTGAGGAAGACCAGCGACAGCACCAAGATGAGGATCTACCTGGGACAGCTACAGAGAGGAGCGTTTGTCATCCGACGACGGTCAGCGGCATAGAACACATGCCTCATTCTTCTGTTTCTCCGTCTCATCAGCATCCTTCTCGTTCTTTTCTCTAAAGTACATTGCTTCCCTCCTCCTCATGATGCTTCCCCACCCTACCGTGTGCCGGAGGAAGTTTTCTCAATGACTTCCATTTCAACCAATCAGGACCACTGGAAGGGTGGCCATCATCAAGCACAGGTGGAAGCCATTTTTTTTCTAGGAGGTTTTTGTTCTATTGTCATGATTCCTGTAGGCTTTGTGTGGAGCTGAAAGGAATGGATAGCCCAGGTATAAGAAATGTCGGAATTGCTCCACCATGCCTTATGGACTTGGTGGAATTTTTTCCATTTTCCTTACACTATCCAATCCTCTCAGATCTACACAAGTGCATAGGGGCTCAAAGCTGATTTTGGAATAGGTCTTACATGTCTTTCTACACCTAACATAGTTCTGTAACAGTTTCCTTGATCTGTTGTTCAGCTGGAATCATGCCATGTTTTCTAAGAGCGAAGCTTGTCTGAACTGCACAATCAATACATGGAGGAGGGGGGAAATGGACACATTTCATATGGTCTTTTCATCTGGTACATTGTCTGTTTTATAGTTTTTTGCTCCTGGTATATTGACCTTTTTATTTCTTATAAAAAAATTATAATGTATTGGATTGACTTAAGGTTTTAATTTTGTATATGTAATATTGACATTAGATGAGTAATTCACTCTAGCTATTGGACTTGGCTGAACTCTATTTGCACATGAAGATGAAACTTAACAATTTCTATTTGTACATTTTTGTGCGTTCCATTTATTAAAGATGTTACTGCCTTTTGTCAATAAGTGTAAGATGCATTTCTCATAACATACAGTGCATTCGGAAAGTATTCAGACCCCTTGACAATCACCACATTTGTTACGTTACAGCCTTATTCTAAAATGGATGATAAAAAATATGCAATTTTATTAAGAACATAAACAGAATTACCTTATTTACGTCAGTATTCAGACCCTTTGCTATGAGACTCGAAATTGAGCTCCGGTGCATCCTGTTTCCATTGATCATCCTTGATGTTTCTACAACTTAAATTAAATTGATTTGGAAAGGCACACAATTGTCTATATGAGGTCCCACAGTTGACAGTGCATGTCAGAGCAAAAACGTAGGAATTGTCCATAGAGCTCAGAGACTGGGGAAGGGTAGCAAAACATTTCTGCAGCGTTGAAGGTCCTCAAGAACACCGTGGCCTCCTTCATTCTTAAAAGGAAGAAGTTTGGAACCACCAAGACTCTTCCTAGAGCTGGCTGCCTGGCCAAACTGAGCAATCGTGGGAGAAGGACCTTGGTCAGGGAGATGACCAAGAACGCGATGGTCACTGACAGCTCCAGTGGCTTCGGGACAAGTCTCTGAATGTCCTTGACTGGCCAAGGCAGAGCCCTGACTTGAACCCGATCTAACATCTCTGGAGAGACCTGAAAATAGCTGTGCAGCAACGTTCCCCATCCAACCTGACAAGCTTGAGAGGATCTGCAGAGAAGAATGGGATAAACTCCCCAAATACAGGTGTGCCAAGCTTGTAGCGTCATACCCAATAAGACTCGAGGCTGTAATCGCTGCCGAAGGTACTTCAACAAAGTACTGAGTAAAGTGTCTGAATACTTATGTAAATGTGATATTTCTGGATTTTTTAAAATATAAATTAGCAACAATTTCTAAACCTATTTTTGCTGTGTCATTATGGGGTATTGTGTGTAGATGGGGGGGGGGGGGGACGACAATTTTATCCATTTTAGAATAAGGCTGTAACTTAACTTTCCGAATGCACAGTACTTACAGTTGAGGATACTTTTTTTATTAACGTACAGTGCACACACACATCAGTCACCACCGATCTAGCTTTCTGTACCAGTATCTTATCAACAGCTCTTCATCTACACTGTAACTTAGCCAACAGGTCAGTTTACCTTACCTGTTGCCTCACCATCTAAATTCTATGACCCTGATTGTTGAGATAGATATGGCCGACAAGTCCTTCCCCACTAGATTCCAATTTCCCCCCTCTCCCAACCTTTACACTCTGAATCAATTGGCCCTGCGCATTAGTCTCCCCTTGCCAGGCGTGATATTCATCAATGTCTTCAGTGCCTTTTTGTTGTTTGTGTCTCATGTCTCCGTCACACCCCTCGGCTGAACTAAACCCAATGAGAGGTTTCAGTTTGCCGCACTTAATGGAGCGTCCTTTCAAGGAGTGGCAATTACTGTGTTTTTGCTACTTAGTCGGCGATAAATGCAAGGCCCTGACCTCTGTTGTTTGTGGAAGCCCCATATGTGATCAGAGTGCTCAATTTCTCTGGCCTTTTAAATGAGCCTGTAACAAATGGCTTTCCCCTGTCTTGTTGGTTTTAATCGAGGATTGGCCTCCGTGTGTGGATTGCGGTGGGGTAGCAATGCTAAATGCAGAGCATTTATGTGATGTCCACAGTAATAATGGCTGTCTTTCTGCTGGCTGGGCTTTTCACTGTGCTTATCATCAGTCATAAATCTACTGTTGGTGTGTGTCTGCAGTCATAAATCTAACTACCGTGTGTCCGCTTTCACCCAAGCCATTTTAATTGATCCTGGATCAATGGCTCATCTGTGACTTGCAGATATTTCAGAGCAAAGTATAATGGGGGTTTTGAGCAGGAGTGTGAAAATTGCCATTGCCATTCCCCTGCTGTACTACTGACGTCAGTGGTCTCTAAATGGATGTTCTCACCTGTTCAGAACCTGTATTACAAATCGTCTCAAAGTAGAATCGCTGATCTAGGATCAGGTTCCCCCCTGAATACAGAGCTCTACACCACACGGTTCCTAATACCGGAGTGATGTGTCAACAATATGGCTGTGTCCCAAATGGCAACCTATTCACTTTATAGTGCACTTCTTTTGACAAGAACCCAATGGACTCTGGTCAAAAGTAGTGCCTCTACAAAGGGAATAGTGTGCCATTTCGGACGCAGTCCATGTCCCACTGTTATCTCCCTCTCAAATAGAAGTACTCCACATGCTCTCCTCCACCTCAACACCTTTTCAGTCAGATCTGTGTGTGTAAACGTCTGAGTTCTGTAGCTCGCTGGGATTAGGCTATCTGACCAAACCTGCATGTGATTGCTGCTGTTAACACGTACACAAACACACACTCTTGCCTGGCTCAGAGCAAGACCGACATGGACACTTTGGTTGAGGACAATAGAATCTGCTGCGTGGGCAGACAGTGAGTGTAAAAGCAACATTTTCTTTGAGTACAGAACCATTGTATAGTCCAGAGCCATATATTTACATACAGCTCTGCAGGACTTAAAGCGCTCATGGATGATGTTGATTTAGGGAGCTGGCTGTTGAAAATGCATGCTGGCCGCACTTTCACCAAGTGGCCTGTAAATGGGGTAGTAAATGAAAATCAGCACTGCTTCCACCCACTGTGTATGTGTTGCGAAACTCTCACTGGAGTCATTTTGCGGGGTGGTTACTGCTTGTGTGCATAAAGACCCACCCAAGGCATCAATAAAATCCCCCACAATCCACCAGCTTCACCCCCCCCCCTACTCCAACATCAGAGCAGCAGCCTCCTGTGTGTGTGTGTTTCTGTGGCAGCCTCTTCCTCTGCTTTCCTCCTCTGCTAAAACTGCATTCGCTCCACCCCGTGTGTGTGTGTGTGTGTGTGTTTGTGTGTGTGTGTGTGTGTGTGTGAGCAGCGCATCAATACATGGTGGCGGGCCTAAAGCTGCCTCTTGCTCAGTGCTATCTGCTAGACTTAGACTTGCCTTTGGTGGTCTTAAGAGAGGCTATGTTCTTAATATCCCTCACCATCAAGGGCCTGTGCATAGATGTGTTGAGTGGAAGTATTGGCCCTCCTGTAGCTCAGTTGGTAGAGCATGGCGCTTGCAACGCAAGGGTTGTGGGATCGTTTCCCACGGGGGGGGGCAGTATGAAAAATGTATGCACTCACTAATAGTAAGTCGCTCTGGATAAGAGCGTCTGCTAAATGCCTAAAATGTCAATTGGATCACTAAAAAATACAACTTTGTCCCGTGTGTGTAGCTCAGTTGGTAGAGCATGGCGTTTGCAACGCCAGGGTTGTGGGTTCGATTCCCACGGGGGGCCAGTATGAAAAAAAATGTATGCACTCACTAACTGTATGTCGCTCTGGATAAGAGCGTCTGCTGAATGACTAAAATGTAAATGTAAAAATGGAAGGACTCGTTTTGCCCCACTATCTCTCTCGCAGCCTCCACTCATTCACTCACTCACTCGCTCTAGTTTGGAGTGGAGGAGGATAGTGTTTGGTGCTTACTTTATGTAAGCGCTCTGTCTGTAGGACATTAACATTTTATATCAGCTGTTGCCTTTGTGGGTGCAGCTGTTTTTATTTCAATATCAAATCATTTCTGGGTAGCAAGTACCTTACTGTGATAGTTTTCAATATAAAATAGTCAAAAAGAAACAAACAGTATCTTAGCAAAGAGCAATTTCTCAAGCAAGAATTTTGCAAGGGTAGGGCCCTATAAAAGCAGTTTTTCTTTTTGCCTGATTTCGTTAATTTTTTTCACATTCTGTTTTCTCAGTTTTGTTAACATTTATTTGAGAAGGTTTTTGGGGAAAACCTTTCCATCTACCAGCTGATGGTTATTGTTAGCATTATCGCTAACGACTAGACATAGGGCGCGCACCGTACACAACACACACACGGGCATTCCTGTGCCATTGCAGGAAAATACGAATCACTGATGACCTATGTCTTATGATTAACTTGGGCAAATTATTGAACTTCAATACTTTTACTTGATTTCTTACTAAGTTCAATTCATTTTGAAATATTGTTGAATTCCGTTTAAATGTCTGGATTCCGTGATTCCGTCCATGTTTTCCGCAACGCAGATTTTATAGGGCCCTACTAGGGCTGTCTGGGACTGGTCTGAGGGAGGAGGGGAAAACTGAAAACTAGCTGTTATTGGAAGAGAGGTTTGGAACGCTCTTTCTTATTGGTCTATTAACTAATTTACCACCTGGTGACGTCACCAGGCAGGCCAAAACTCCATCCCACCAAAATAGACAGACATTTCACAGTATTATTCCAACCTCATAGTGTGGAAATATATGTAAAATACTGGAAAATCACCTTTTTGACTGCACTGGAACTTTAAACGAAATCAGTAACTATGTTAGATTAATAGAATTGAGTAGAATAACTTGAATATAATATTGTTTTCTAGAGGTAACTGATTGCAACAAATCATGAAGCTTGTTCCATTTATGTTGACACTTTTTTTGATGATTTGTTTGTAAACAGACCGCTTGAAAACACTCCTTTATTAGCAACCCTGTCATGCCTCGCGTTGCCAAGT